GCAAAATATACCTTCCCGGGCTAGCAGGGTGGCGCAGTGGTTAAGGTCTTCGCCTTGCACGACCGGGATCTCATATGGGTGCCGGTTCTATCCCAGCAGCCCATCTTCCCTCCAGCTCCCTGCCTGTGGCCCGGGGAGCAGTTGAGGACGGCCCAAAGCTTTGGGACCCTGCACCCTTGTGGGAGACCCGGAAGAGGCTCCTGGTTTTGGATCGGCATAGTATTGGCCATTGCGCTCACTTGGGGAGTGAATCATCAGGCGGAAGATCTTCCTCTCTGTCTCTCCTCCCTGTATATCCGCCTTTCCAATAAAAGATATTAATAATTATAATAAAAATATACCTTCCCAATAAAAATAAATCTTAAAAAAAAAATACTTAGCAAAAGGCCCACAAAATACAATTAACTGAAGACAGTTCTGCTGCCTCCCCTTACTATCTGTTATCTATCAGCACCATTAAGCTGCTTTAATCTCTTCTTCAAGTGAAAAGCAGCCTAGTGGGATATGAACAGTGTGGCACACCTGTTACGGCAGCACTATTCACAATGGCCACAAGAGGGCAGCAAAGCAGACGGCAGCATTATTCACAATGGCCACAAGAGGGCAGCAAAGCAGTGTCTCACAGCAGACAAATGTAGTTTAGCCACAGGGGGGGGAATTCTGTTGCTAGGCCACAAGAACGAATGAAGTGTGAATGTATGTTACAACATGGATGGACTTTGAAGATCCCGGGAGTGGAGGAAGCCAGTGCAGTCCCAGAAGGACCAATTCTGAGCACATGGAGTTACACGAGGTCCTTGGTGTCTTCAGCTTCGTGGACCAGGAAGCAGATGGGTGGCTGCCAGGAGCTGGAGGAAAGAGGCCATGGGAGCTAGTGCTTGATGGGAAACTGCTTCGGTTTGGGAAGGTACGAGTTTTCCAGGCTGGGGCCCTGTGCAGTAGCCTAGTGGTCAAGCCCTCACTGTGCAAGCGCTGGGATCCTATATGGGTGCTGATTCTCATCCCAGCAGCACCCCTGCTTCCCATCCAGCTCCCTGCTTGTGGCCTGGGAAAGCAGTAGAGGATGACCCAAGGCCTTGAGACCCTGCACCCACATGGGAGACTCCTGGCTCCTGGCTTTGGATTGGCGCAGCTCTGGCCATTGTAGCTGCTTGGGGAGTGAATCATTGGATGGAAGATCTTTCTCTTTCTCTCCTCCTCTCTGTATCTCTGACTTTCCAATCAAAATAAATGTTTTAAAAATGTTTTCCATGTTGCATGATCGTGGCACAGGCGTGAGAGGACTTGAATGCCTCTGACTACACAATTACATCGCTGAGGATGGCGAACTTGGTTTATCCGCATGGGATCCTATTTTGCTTTTCCAAATTATTAATGCTTTTTTTTTTCATATCTCAGAATATATACAGAATCATGTACTCTTCAAATAGGAATACATCTTCTTTTGAAACATGCATGCTTTCTTTTTTTTTTTTTTACATTTTTTTTCCATATATTTTTTATTTTAACAATCTTTACATGGTTAATTTGTGCATAAAGGGTCAAGGGCTACAGGAAAGTGGGTAAGACTATTATGTCCATATTGTTTCATATATCTGAGGTAGATGGGGATATTGAGGGAGAAGCCCCACCTGATTTCCCACCCACCCCAAGTCCCACATGTGGGGCATGCTCCGAGATGCTCGTTGAAGTGGTTTCAATAGGTCACCAGTTTTGAAATTGCTGCCAATCTCGCCTCTCCAAATAAGATGAGCTTGTTGAAAAATCCATGAATTGACATTGTCCATCATAGCGTCTCTATTTGCCCGGTATTTTGTTGCCAACCTATAGCTGAGGTGGTTGATTAACTTGTTCCATCTTCTGTCCCTTCATGGTTAGGGTTGTGAGTCTGGCATTTCAATTGGGGAGATCCGCAAACAAACTTCGTCTGAGGTGTTCCCAGGCCAGATACTCATATGCACCAGCAAGCACAGGGCCCAGCACAGTCCATCACCCGGTCAGCTGGTAGTTGCAATTGCTGGGTTGGTTCTGTTTTCAGCCCCGCCTTCTACTGGAACCAATGGGTGATGCAGTCCAGCCTGGTTCTGCACAGCACATACTTGGTCTTCACCTAAACCAGTGGGAGCTGCATCCTGATGAGAGCGGCCCACAATAACCCCCACCAGGCCAACCCCCTACCCTGGTTTGCCAGTATGTGTGGCAGAGCAGTCCAATCTGACCCACATCCCCCCTGGTTCTCGTACATGGCAAATGGCATCGAAGCTTGGATCCACCTAACCAGCTCAACAGTCAAGCCTTCATGGGTGTGGTTGAGTGCCTCTCTGTCTAGCTACCCCAGCCCCTGTCCTAGTTCTCGTGCCTTCCCGTGGGAGTGGTAACCCAAGAGGGGGGAACACACTATTTCCCTCCCAGGTCTCTCACTCCCGGATTGTGCACTTTCCAGGTGGTTCTGCAGTTTAACTTGACAGGATTAGCCCCCAGCGCCAGTTTCTGCCAGCTGATGTTACGGCTATGCCCAAACAGCCCTCTCCCCCTTCTAATTGTAGGTTGCACCCATAGGAACAATCAACCCATCCTGGATTTTCCCTGGTCTAGTCCACATGAGGCGCACAGGTGTTGTAGCCCTGCCTAGTCTGGTCTGCCCCCATCCCAGTTCATGCTCTCCAGCGGGAGTAGTTGTCCAGCAGGGGAACCACCCCTTTTTCCCCCGCTGGCTCTGTCCTCTCCCCTCCTGTTTCTCACGTGTGCTGGATGGGCACTGCAGTCACATCCGGCACAGTCACCTCCTCCTGTCTGTCCCCAATCCAAGCCTAATGTATGCCAGTGGGAAACTTCTTGTGGCCTGCTCTGGGCTGTTTCCATTCATGCTTCTTGCGCTTACCCGTGGGGTCTGTGTCCTGCCAGAGGAGTTGCCCAGGCTCCTCCATCAGAACCTCTCCCAGTGCCGGATTTTGCGCATGCCAGTGGGTCCATGAGCCAGCCAGTTCCTGACTAGCTTTCGACCCTAGCTGGTTCTTCTTGTTGGATATTTCAGCCCAGCCATGGCTCGTCCAGTCCATTCCCACATACGGCTCACACATGTTTCAGTAGGGGTTGCGACTTAGCATAATCCGTCCCACTTCTATCCTGGTCCTCCAGGAGCACCAGACAGTGCTGGGGTCTGGTCCAGCCTGGTGCGTCCAGTCCCAGTCCACACTTGTGCCAAGGGGGATTTCACTGTTACCCGATCAGAACGCAGCCCCCATTCCAGCCCATGTGCTCCTTGGCGGTAGCCTTAAACCAGTTAGTGTGTCTACTGGACAAGACCCATGCCAAAGCTTTAGCATGAACTGGTATTTGGTGGTCAGCATTGCTAAGTGGTACACCTTCTTAAAGGAAGAGTAACTGTCATTGGGAAACTTTAGGATGTATTCACCTCGCAGAAACACATCGGGTTCAACCTGGAGCCACATAAGCAGCAATTCAAACCACCAAAATCCCAGAGCTCCCCTGCCGGGCGGCCAGCAGCCAAAGCCTGGCACCAACTGACGCCCTGGCCACCTAAGCCTGGTTCACCATGTGCCCATGATGGCGGGCGTATGGGATCCGGGCATGAGACGCCCTGTCCCGGGACCCACGCACTGCCGATGCTAATGCTTTGTAAAGGTGCCTTGAGGAGTTTCCCTCAAAGAAAGGGCTCACAAAGCCACGCCCTTCCCGCTCCCTTGCCAGGGCATGTGTTCCCTTTGGCTGGTCCCGTGGTGCCAGCCTTCAGCCAGCCCAGTGACCTCTGCGACTTGACCATCGCCACCCCTCTCAGGAGCAGTGCACCCTGGTCGCATGGCCACCACCATGGCGTCCTCCACGGCTCCTGGCGCTCTTCAGGAAGACCGGCCCAAGCCGGACGGGTGAATTCTTTGGGCTGTTGTGCGACTCTAAGGATAAATTACTGGTCTTGTTCCTTGTGGTGCTGGTAATCTAGAATCAAAATGCAATAACCTCCTAGAAAAGATGCTTTCAGAACTAGGGGCGTGTGCGTGCTTCCTTCTAGATGTATCTGTTTGAATAGCAGAGTGACAGAAAAGGGGGAAAGGGAGAGAGGCCTAGACACTTCTTCATTCCCCAGACAGCAGCGCTGGGCAGCGCTGGGCAGGCCGAGCCCCGGAGCCTGGCACTCTGGGCGAAGATCTGATTCCTCCTCTGATCCCAGGCGCATCAGCAGGGAGCTGGGCTGGAAGTGGAGAAGCCAGGGGCACTGGGGGGCAGCCTTCGTGGCACCGCACAGGGAGGAGGCTGCAGGTCCCGGTGCATGCCCTGGCACCCCGTGTCCCAAGGCAGTCGCTGGAGACGCCCCTGGGCTGCGTGGATTGGGGTTAGGGACACATGGCTGCCTGACTCTGGACCCTGACAGGAACTCATGCTGTCTTCTGCTGCCGGCAGCCGGCCTCCAGCAGACCCTGTCTGATCCATGAGATGAGTTAACAGTGAACTTGAATCTGTGCAGATTCGGTTCTCCTGCATTCCAGAAGCTTCCTGTGTCAGAAGCACCAGGACATCTGCTGCTTTGAGCCTCCAGCGCGTGCACCACCCAGGGACCGACCAGGCACACTCCATCCTGCTGTTTTACTTCAATGGCAATGTCTCCTATAGCAAAAACAACAACAAAAAAACACACCGTCTTCCTAGATATGTGCGAATACAAACATATTTGTCCCCGCCTCATCCTCCTCATCACCACCTCCAGGAGACCCAGCAGGCCAGCGGAGGAGGAGGGCGTCCTGACTCCGCGGCTCTGACACAGAGCGCCGAGGGCCGACAGGAAGGCGAGCCCGCCACGGCAGCCATGGCTTCCTTCCGGAGGGAAGGGGAACCGAACCCGAGCACTGTCCCGGAGCCCTCGGCAACAGCGTCGCCAAGTCCCGCGAGAGTTTCGCGCCGCCGCGAGCCCCGCCTTCCGCGGCCGAAGGCCCGCCCCCCGGCCCGCGGCTTCCGGCCGTGCTGATAAAGTTGCTGTTGTTTGGCGTGGGCGGCGGACAAGATGGCGGCGCGCACGGCGGGCTCGCTGCTGCGGGCGCTGCGGCAGGTGAGGCGCCCTCGTCCCGGGGTCCTCGGCCGGCGGCCGGGCCCGGGGCGCTCGGGGGACGGCGGAGGGCGGAGGGCCGTGGCGGGGGAGCCCGCCGGGACGGAGGGAGCGGAGTGTGGAGGTGGGAGCGGCCGCGGGGGCCTGTCCGAGACGGGGAGCGGGCAGCCGCGCTCTGTGAGGCTTGGCTGGGTCCCTGGAGCGTGAAGGCGTTGAGAGTAGGGGAAATGGGCTGTCCCCGGAGAGGTCGGAGCGCCGAGAGCGCATAGTTTTTCTTTTGTGTCAGTAGTTAAGGCAGTGTTAATAAAAGGGAGGTTCCCAGAGTGTGGGAAGAAACTGGTCGCGCGTCGCCGGAGTTGCGCCTTTAGGTAAACGACAAGTAACGTGGTCTTGTGTATGCGGTTTGGTCTTATTAAGACTGCTGTTGACCTGTAGCAATGCCAATAGAAACATAATGGCAGCATTGTAATTAAGAATTTTTCATAAGCGAAAGGTAGGGGGCTGGCACCGGTGCAGGGAGTTAAGCCACCTGTTTGGAGTCAGCGCCCTGGAGCGTGAAGGCGCGGGCGGTGCTGGGGTCTGAGCGAATCCCTGGCAGCTGGGGCCATCTGGGAGCGAACCAGAAGATGGAAGGTCCCTGGCCTGCTTGTCTTTGCCCTTCACGCCTTTTTAAAAAGGGGAACAAGTCAAACCAGGTGGAATTAATTTTGAAGTAATTAGGAAAGCCACCTGCCGGGTGCACTCGTTCCACGTTGCAGGCTGAGTGCTTGCCAACCACGGGAGGCTGTATTGGAGAGAGAGACATGTGGAATATAGGGAGTGGATGCTGGAATATGGTAGTGGGAAGCTTGGAAATTCGCTTCTGTGGGGTCCTGATTAAGCGCACAGTGACGGCAGCTGAGTGCGGATGTGGGAGCAGGTGTCAGGAATTTATGGAAAGGTGGAAGAGCTGGTAAGAAACAGGGTTTAGGTGAGTGACCCATTGGGCCTGGTGGAAGGGCTAGGGAGTCGGGGCGGATGTAAGAGCAGACAGCAAATGCAGTCTAACATGCTGTTACCAAGTGGAAGGAAGTAACTCCACAGAGTGGACAGCGCAGAAGCTGCAAATACTCGCCGTTGAATGCTTCCCTACAAGTGTATTGCATCTGTAATCAGCACACAATAGAGAAGATGGGAATAGTTTGAGGAGAAATGTTGAGTTTTGTTTTCTAAGTCCTGACTTTGGGTTGCGTCGGTGAAAGCAGCCCCGACCCTGCGCTGGGGCGTGAACGGCATGTTGGAGCCAGGGCGATTCCCCAGGACCTGTGACTGCTTGTCTCCTCACGCGTTTCTGTGCTTGGTTTGGACACACTGTTCCTTCTGAGGCCTCCCTCTGCCCTCAGCGGTCTCGGAATTCACAGTCTTTCCAGGGCTCGTGTAAGTCCCCCTTCCTGGCGCAGCGAGGATGGCGCTCATTTGACTCATGTGCCAAATGGTTGTATGAATTCTGTTCATGCAGATCATTTACTCTTTTAGGGGGTGGGATGTTGCTGAGTTCTACGAAAGCAAACGAGATGTTGAAGATCTGGGGCCTGCGCCGCGGTGGAGTGGGTGACTGCACTCTGTGTCTGTGGAGGTGACCTCCCAGATGCCCCTTGCATTGGATCCTGGCTGTTTCACTCCAGTCCAGCTCCCTGCTAACAGGCCTGGGAAAGCAGCCGAGGACGGCCTCCAGGGCTTGAGCCCCCGCACCTCCACGCAGACGTGGAATAGACGCCTGGCTTCTGAGCGGCCCAGCCCTGGCCAGCGTGGGCAGTGGGACAGAGAGCCAGCAGATGGAAGATTTGAAGTTGTGTAGCTCTGCCTTTCAAATAATAAATCTTTTTGAACATTTCATGTAGTTTGTCCAGGCAGATTAAATACTTCATGATGGATCTGTACAGCAGAATATTATTAATTTAAGGAAAATGAAAAGGATTTTTAAAAAATATTTATTTATTTGAAAGCCACAGAGTGGTTGGGCGGTTCCCCAGCTGGCTGCAGTGGCCAGCCTAGGCTGGTGCAGAGTCAGGAGCTGGGATTCCTCCTGCCCCCCGACATGGGTGCAGGGGCCCAGGCCCTTGGGCTGTCCTCGGCTGCCTTCCCAGCAACATGCAGCAGGAAGCTGGAAGGAGGTGGAGCAGCACGTGGCACCCAGGTTGGTGTTAGCATTTGCTGTGTCTGTGCCGTGGGCACCATGCCACAGTGCTGGGTCATGAAAAAGATCTTTTACATGTAGGCATAGAAAGATCCCTGATATATAGACACACACAGACAAATGTGTCTGTATATGATGTGTATTTATGTGCTACATATTTTAATATATAAATGTATCATATATAAATTATGCTTTACAATTTATTTGCTTGAAAAGTAGAGTTAGATGTTCCATCCACTGGTTCACTCCCCAAATGGCCGCAGCAGCTGGTGGTAGGAACCAGGGATATATGAGAAAGTAGTGAGAGTGGGCGCCTGTGGTGCTGGAGGAGGTGGGGGAGACTGTCCTCTGTTTTTATGCTTCCTTGGTTTTTTAATCACATGACTATTAACCTGTATAAGAGCAAGCAGAATTACGATAAAATCTCTGGGGCGGGGTGAGTGTTGTGGCCTGGTGGGTGAAAGCTGCCACCTGGCACACTGTCACGTTTGGGTACTGCTTCACGCCCAGGCTGCTGCTCTTCCACTCCCTGCTGAGGTGCCTGGGAAAGCAGCAGACGGTGGCCAAGAGTTTGGGCTCCTGCTCCCTGTGGGAGACTCGGATGAAGCTCCTGGTTTCAGCCTGGCCCAGCTCTGACACCATTGCATCCTTCGGGGAATGGAGCCGTGGGTGGAAGGTCTCTGTCCCCCCTGACTAATGTCGTAACTCTACATTTCAAATAAAAATCAGGGAAACAAACACCACACACCTGGGGGTTGGCATGAAGCTTCATGAAATGGCAGCAGCTGCCAGGCTGCCCTGCAGGTGGGAGACCAAGCACTGGCCCTGGCCTGGCCCAGCCTTGATGCTGGGGCCATCTGGGATGTGAACAGATGGCCAGAAGGTATTGGTCTTGCTCAGCCTTTCAAATAAACTAAGCAAAATTAAACCTGAAAAATTTTCGCCTCCCAAAACATTCTTTGGGATTATGTTGGTTATTACCACGTTATTCTCTTTTTAAATATTAATATTACAAAGTTGAGGGAGTCAAAGACCCATGGTAGGAGAGGATGAGTGGCAGGGGAAGGTGGATGAGAATAATGTTTGTTTTCCTTCTGTGGGTGGTCGGGGCCACGATGACCTTGATTTAGTGTGAGTTAGGTGTGTTTTTTAAATGCTAAGGTAACAGACCGCTTTAAACACTGTCGTGCGGATCGGATCGTGGGGCTGGGAGCACTGCCAGGCCCCTCTTACCTGCTCTTCGCCTTTAGGTGGCTTCGTTGTCCGCTTCTCTTCAAGTTCGAGGTTACTACGTAGACTGGAGAATGCTGCGTGATGTGAAGAGACGGAAACTGGCCTACGAGTACGCGGACGAGAGGCTGCGGATCAACTCGCTCAGGAAGAATACCATTTTACCGAAGGATCTGCAGGTCAGCTAATTGAGTCCCTTTCTGCCACAAGGTCATTAACTCGGCATCTTTCTTAAAGCTGTTTGCTCTGACTTCATATGATTTCTGGAGCTTGAGATCAGATACTCCTGATCAGCACGAACGGCCTTGATATACTGGTTGCGGTGGGGGGGGGGGGGGGGTTAAGCTTAAAGCCTTGCCGAGCTTCCTGCTGTCTGCTTGTGCGATCCTGTGAGGGGCCTGGCTGGCAGTGACTGTGCCAAAACTGGGCAGTTACTTGGTTCCATTATCTTCCTTTTTATTTAAGTTTTATTTTTGATAATGTTTACATAGTTCATCAAGGTGGGAAGGGTCAAGGATTAGGGAAAGTGGTCTGCCCACATTCCCCTAATCTCAACCCTTCCTTCCTTCCTTGATCAACTATGAAAACATCATCAAAAATGAAATTTATTAAAAAAAAAGAAAAAGTGCTGTGGGGACAGTGCTCCCCATCCCAACGAGGGTCAGGGGTCAGACATGTGGCTTGATTTGCTCTGCCTCTTGCAACAACATGGGTGAAGCTCGTGGCATGTTGCTGAATGAAAGCCAAGCAAAACAGAACTGCCTGTAGGCTCTGGTTGTCGCTGTAGATCGTTCACGACCGGAAAGCCATGCCTGTGGTGGTTTGTTAGCTGTTCAGAGCGTTAGCGCTGTGTCCTGTCACCAGGGGCTTGGCTAGGCACGTGTGCACCTTTGGGAAGCTTTGTGCGGCTCCATACTTTGCAGATTCTGTGACTCCACGCTCACTGTAAATTGCGAAAACTGGCATTGAGAGGATTTCAAAGCATTTCTGCCAGCTTTCTAGTCTGTTTCTGCCACAGCTTTGCTGCCATGTCGAAGTTCTTTGACTCACCGCTGGCTCTGTTAGTCTTGTCTAACGTGTGGGAGCTGTGCAGTAATGCTCTGATTGCCATAGGAAGTGGCTGATGAAGAAATTGCTGCTCTTCCGCGGGACAGCTGTCCTGTGAGGATCAGAAACCGCTGCGTCATGACGTCCCGGCCACGCGGCGTGAAGCGGCGCTGGAGGCTCAGCCGTATTGTCTTCCGCCACTTAGCTGACCACGGCCAGCTTTCTGGGGTGCAGCGCGCCATCTGGTAACCCTGCTCCCGAAGCTGCTGTGGTGACGGGGAGCCGGCTCTGGCCCAAAGACTGTCCTGCTGCTCCAGCGTGGCCTTTGCAGAGCTGCGCCGGTGCTGGGTCTACTATTGATATTCATGCTGTCTGTGAATTCCTTGGAAATGGTAAGATGTGGAGTTTGTATCAGTCGAGTTAATAGATTGAACATACTGCTCCATGCCTTGGTACTGCATAGACTAATAAATACGTCCTGTGGCAAAGTGCCTGTATCCTCTCCTTCAGCTTCAGACTCCCGTAACCCTTCGGGCTATCTGCGTCCACAGGCTCCCTCATCACGCAGGGCTGCGGGCAGTCCAGCTGACCGACCTGTGCACTCATGCTGGGCTGGCCTCCCTGTCCGCCCAGCTCACCTCGCTCTTGGCTTATTGTTAGACAGTAACAGTGTGTTGGAATGTCAAGCTGATGTTGGACTAACAGGTAAAAGAATCAGTGTTTTTTTGTTCCGTCTTTAAGGATCTTTACAATTAAATATGCCTGTTTGTGTCCCTGGAAATCTATCCAAGGAGAAAACGTTTTGTTGGACTATATTTCCTGGGTGTTGATGTTGGTTTATCTGTTCTGGACATGAGTCTAAGGATAGCAGTTCTTTCATGCAGAAACTCCACAGTGTGCTCAGCTCAGGAATGAACGTACGTAATAGTACTGCATGATAGCCTAGTGGCTAAATCCTCACCTTGAACGTGCCGGGATCCCATACGGGCGCCGGTTCCTATCCTGGCTGCTCCACTCTCCATCCAGCTCCCTGCTTGTGCCCTGGGAAAGCAGTCAAGGCTGGCCCAAAGCCTTGGGACCCTGCATCTGTGTGGGAGATCCTGAAGAAGCTCCTGGCTCCTGGCTTAGACCCAGCCATTATGGCTACCGGGGTGAGTGAACCAATGGACAAAAGATCTTTCTCTGTAACTCTGACTTTGCAATAAAAATAGACAAAAAGAAAAAGTACTGCAGGAAGTTCATGGAAAAGGGAATTAATATATTGCAAGAATTTTAGAGTTGGTACAGAGGCTTTTGCAATACACATTTGCATGACTTTATATAACCTACACATGCATGGATTTTACTGTCTGCAGCAAAATAAGCATGATTATTTCTGCTTCCATGAATTTTTTGGAGATACTATGCATGGTAGTGTGGAAACACCTCCTTAACGTCAGGGCAATCCCTGTGGGTGACACTAGATGGCATACTTAGGAGACTGTTTGAACGCAGGCAAGCAAAGGCCCAAAATGCATCTCAAAGTTGATCTGCAGCCACTTGCATGTATCAGAAGCATGGACCGCTACACAGGAGCATCAGTGCAGCTCATGGAAGGTGGGACTTAAATGGAGCACTGGAAATTGGAGTGTTTTTTTTTTTTATAATTTAAATTTATTTGTATTGGAAAGTCAGAAGAGGACAGAGAGGAAGATCTTTTGTCTGCTGGTTCACTCCCCAAGTGGCTGCAATGGCTGGAACTGAGCTGATCTAAAGCCAGGGGCCAGGAGCTTCCTTCGGGTCTCCCACGCAGGTGCAGGGTCCCAAGGTTTTGGGCCGTCTTCAACTGCTCTCCCAGCCACAAGCAGGGAGCTGAATGGGAAGCAGGGCTGCTGGGATTAGAACGAGAGCCCCTCTGGGATCCCAGGGTGTGCAAGGCGAGGACTCCAGCCATTAGGCCGCCGTGCCAGGCCTGAAATTGGAGTGTTTTAAGCCAAGGGCTGACATCACCACCTGCTTTTGGTGACTGACAGCCGTGTGGGGACAGTCATGAGAAGTTGCGTCGTGGCCAAGACAGACCTTCAAGACACTTTGTTCAGTCAGCCATGTCACGTCAGGCTACAAGCAGGGAACTAGATGGGACCTAAGCCAGGGCAGTGTATTAGTGGAGAAGAGGTGACAGGTTAAACATTAGGTATTTGGGGGAACTGAACAAGATGAGTGATCATATCTGAGGACGTGAGAACTGCTCTCTGGCTTGCCAGAAGGATGGATGAGAGGACACGTGAGGGGGAGGCAGCGGCTGGAGAGCAGCACGCGCTCGGACCCTGAGCCATCCACTGGAGGAGTTGAGAGTGTACTTGGAGGGTAGGGTCTGGAACGCTGGGACAAGTGAGGTCCTAGGAAAACCTACATCCCAGGAGCAGTTACAGCTCACAGATACAATTATATCTACAGCAATCGTTTGTTGATTTCTGACATTCATTGCTAACAACATCCCACCTTTTGGGCTCTTTGAAATGAGACCAGACATAAGGAAAGTATGTCACTTGGTTGCCTGTCTAAATCCTCTTTTGAAAGACTTGGATTCCAAAACTCCTCTCTCTCTAATGTGATGTGTACGAGAGAGCAGACCATCTGTCTCGTAGCTTGTCCAGTTTTGGGCTGTTTGACTCTCCAAGTGTCTTGAGCAAATTTTTTGAAAACGAAGCTACATCTGCAGGCTGGACTAAATTCTGGTTGTGTTTTTTGTTTGTTTAAATTTTTATTGGAAAGTCAGATATACCGAGTAAGAGAGACAGGAAGATCTGCCATGAAGCCAGGAGTGTCCTAGTGTATCCCACGTGGGTGCAGGGTCCCAAGGCATTGGGCACTTCTCAGCTGCTTTCCCAGGCCATAGGCAGGGAGCTGAATGTGAAGTGGAGCCACCAGGATTAAAACCAGCGCCTATATGGGATCCCAGTGTTTTCAATGCCAAGGGCAACTGCGCTGAACTCACGGTGCTTTACACATGAGATTTCATCACAGTACTGTGGACTGTGTGACGTCACGTCCGAAGATAGTGTCTGGCTGTGGACTGTGATGTCACGTCGGGAGGAGCATGTCTGGCTGTGGACTGTGATGTCACGTCGGGAGGAGCATGTCTGGCTGTGGACTGTGATGTCATGTCGGGAGGTGCATATCTGGGTGTGGACTGTGATGTCACATCGGGAGGTTCATGTCTGGCTGTGGACTGTGACGTCACGTCGGGAGGTGCATGTCTGGCTGTGGACTGTGACGTCACGTCGGGAGGTGCATGTCTGGCTGTGGTCTGTGTGATGTCACATGGGGAGGTGCATGTCTGGCTGTGGACTGTGACGTCACGTCGGGAGGTGCGTGTCTGGCTGTGGACTGTGTGACGTCACGTCGGGAGATGCATGTCTGGCTGTGGTCTGTGTGATGTCACATGGGGAGGTGCATGTCTGGCTGTGGACTGTGACGTCACGTCAGGAGGTGTGTGTCTGGCTGTGGACTGTGTGACGTCACGTGGGAAGGTGTATGTCTGGCTGTGGACTGTGTGACGTCACGTGGGACATGGGAAGGAGCGTGTCTGGCTGTGGACTGTGACGTCACGTGGGGAGGTGCATGTCTGGCTGTGGTCTGTGTGATGTCACGTGGGAAGGTGTATGGCTGTGGACTGTGTGACGTCATGTGGGGAGGTGCATGTCTGGCTGTGGACTGTGTGACGTCACGTGGGGAGGTGCATATCTGGTTGTGGTCTGTGTGACGTCACGTCGGAAGGTGCGTGTCTGGCTGTGGACTGTGACGTCACGTGGGGAGGTGCATGTCTGGTTGTGGTCTGTGTGACGTCACGTCGGAAGGTGCGTGTCTGGCTGTGGACTGTGACGTCACGTCGGGAGGTGTATGTCTGGCTGTGGACTGTGTGACGTCACGTGGGACATGGGAAGGAGCGTGTCTGGCTGTGGACTGTGACGTCACGTGGGGAGGTGCATGTCTGGCTGTGGTCTGTGTGATGTCACGTGGGAAGGTGTATGGCTGTGGACTGTGACGTCATATGGGGAGGTGCATGTCTGGCTGTGGACTGTGTGACGTCACATGGGAAGGTGTATGTCTGGCTGTGGACTGTGTGATGTCACATGGGAAGGTGCATGTCTGGCTGTGGACTGTGACGTCACGTCGGAAGGTGCATGTCTGGCTGTGGACTGTGACGTCACGTGGGGAGGTGTGTGTCTGGCTGTGGACTGTATGACGTCTCATCGGAAGGTGCGTGTCTGGCTGTGGTGTGTGTGACGTCACATGGGAAGGTGCATGTCTGGCTGTGGACTGTGTGACGTCACGTCGGAAGGTGCATGTCTGGCTGTGGTGTGTGTGACGTCACATGGGGAGGTGCATGTCTGGCTGTGGACTGTGTGACGTCACGTCGGGAGGTGCATGTCTGGCTGTGGACTGTGTGACGTCACGTCGGGAGGTGCGTGTCTGGCTGTGGACTGTGACGTCACGTCAGGAGGTGCGTGTCCGGCTGTGGACTGTGTGATGTCATGTTGGATGGTGCATGTGTTTTTTTTTTTTTAATTTTTTTATTGGTTACATTGCATTATGTGACACAGTTTTATAGGCACTGGAATTGTCCCCTCCCCTTCCCAAACCGCCCCCCCCATGGCGGATTCTTCCAGCTTGTTGCATTAGCACAGTCGAAATTCAGTTGAGATTCTTGCAATGCAAGCATCTACCAAGCACAGAATCCAGTATCTTATTGTCCAGATAAGTTCAACGGTTTCTTGGGAAGATTATCTCTGGTCTGAAGGTAGAGCCGGCAGAGTATCATCCCAATCAATTAAAAGCCCCGACATTTCATCAGTAACAGTTTATAACATTATGGAATTAGTTGACATGGTATTGAGTAACCAACATGTTAGAGAAAAAAGAAAGAATGCAAGTTCTGAACCACATCTTGTGACTTCTACATTGATGTTTCAATTATTAGTTTATATACAACTGGGTTCTATACACCTTAAAATGGCTACAGATTACTATTCAGCTGTCTCGTGTCTATTTTAATTTTAGTATTTAGCAGTTAATAGCATTGAAACATGATTTTGCTGAACCTGGCTGTTTTTCGGGTAGTCTAACTCTATAACTCTAACAAGACATATGCCAACAGTTTAGGTGAACAGTTTTAGCAGGGGTGTGCAGAGAAATCTTCAATACCCCAGTGAGGAGTAACTAATCTTTGTGTCCCACCCAGTGAGTTATAAGTGCATCCTCACTGCCCGTTTCCTGTCTGTTTCTAAGCTTTCGTTGCTGTTCTCAATCTATTCTAGTTTTTTGTTGTTGTTGATTTGTTTGTTAGTTTGTTTTGGGGGGTTTCTGGAGCGATCCTGATGGTCATTACCAGAGAGGGTGGGGACCCAAAGTCGGAACCAGGCAAGGATCAGAGAAGCTCCTCTCCCTAGTCCTGAAGGAAGTTTACTGTTTTGTTTCTGCGGACCGCTCAGGGCTCCTGGTTGTCGTTCCGATGACCTTGGATCCTGCAAGGCAGGGTATGGGCTTCTTCCATCCCGTGTGGGAGAACCAAATGGAGGTGGGTGACCTCAGAGTTCTCAGCCTCTGAAGGTACTCCAATTCCCCGTGGTCTCCTTGGCGCTTGGGATGTAGTCCTTGGCGCTTGTACTGATAGTCCTTGGTGAGGATCTGGGAGTCTTAAGGGTTGGGATACAAGCCTCCTCCTCTCTGCCTGCTCCACTCTGGGGTCCCCCCGCCTCTGTGCATATGACCTCCTGTTAAGAGTTTGTTAGGGTTGCTCCTGATTCCGCCCCATTTGCCTTTGTAGTTTTGCTGTTGTCTAATGCTGATTTGAGTCCGTTATCTATGAGTTACCAGTTGCGACCCTGATAGGTTATACTTCCCGTCTTCCTCACACCTTCTTGGGTGATGTAAGATTTCTCTGCTCTCCCTCCCCATTTCCGAGTAGCATAGGGCCTTACAAGTAAATTAGGTTTTACAATTCTTTGATGTAGGTCATAAGCAGTCTGACTCACATTGATTGTTGGTTCATTGGTTACTTCACAATGTCTTATTGCATGAGATACAGGCTGTTTGGGATTGAAATAATATTACTGTTTTTCCTTTCCAATAAAAAAATCTTTAAAAAAATTTTTTTCTCCCATTCTGTTGGTTACTTCTTCACTTTAATTGTTTCCTTTGCTGTACAGAAGCTTTTTAGTTTGATGCAGTCCCATTTATTCATTTTGGATTTGATTGCCTTTGCTTTAGGCATCTCTTTTTTTTTTTAAGATTTATTTTATTTTTATTGGAAAGGCGGATATACAGAGAGGAGAGACAGAGAGGAAGATCTTTCGTCCGATGATTCACTCCCCAAGTGAGTGCAACGGCCGGTGCTATGCCGATCCAAAGGCAGGAGCCTCTTCCGGGTATCCCACGCGGGTGCAGGGTCCCAAAGCTTTGGGCCGTCCTCGACTGCTTTCCCGGGCCACAGGCAGGGAGCTGGATGGGAAGCGGGGCTTCGGGATTAGAACCGACACCGATATGGGATCCCGGGCGTTCAAGGTGAGGACTTTAGCTGCTAGGCCACCGCGCCAGGCCCTAGGCGTCTTTTCTAAGGAGTCTTTCCCTGTTCCTATATCTTGGAGTGTGCTTTGTATGTTTTCCTTTAATAGTTTGATGGTTTCTGGGTGTAGATTTAGGTCCTTGAGCCAGTTAGAGCTAGTTTTAGTATAATGTGACAGGTGTGGATATTGTTTCTTCATTCTGCATGCTGCTACCCAGTTGTCCCAACAGCATTTGTTGAATAGACCAGGATTTTTGCCTGGGTTGTTTTCAGTTTCCTTGTCAAAGATTAGTTGACTATACATGTGTGGGCTCCCTTCTGGTGTTTCTGTTCTGTTCCACTGATCTTCTCTGTTTCTGTACCAGTACCAGACTGTTTTGATAACCACTGCTCTGTAGTATGTCTTGAGGTCTGGAATTGTGATTCCTCCAGCCTGATTTCTATTTTTCAGGATAGCTATAGCTATTCGTGGTCTTCTGTGATTCCAGATGAACTTCTTCATCTTTTCTATTTCTGAAATGAATGTTGCTGGGATTTTGACTGGGATTCTGTTGAATCTGTATATTGCTTTTGGTAATATGGTCGTTTTGATGATGCTGATCCTGCCAATCCAGGGACATGGTAAGGTTCTCCATTTTTCAAGGTCTTCTTCTATCTCCTTTTTCAATGATTTATAGTTTTCACCATAGAGGTCTTCCACATATTTAGTTAGTTTAATTCCTAGGTATTTAAGATTCCTCTATGCTATTTTAAAATGGACTGCACTTACAATTTCTTTCTCAGCCATGGAATTACTTGTGCACACTGGTGCCATAGATTTGTGTTCATTAATTGTGTATCCTGCTACCCTGACAAAGTCTCTTATGAGCTCCGTAGTCTCTTGACTGAATCTTTTGGTTCTTCTACGTAGAGAATCATGTCATCTGCCAATAGAGAGATAATTTCATTTCTTCCTTTCCAATTTGCATTTCTTTAATTACTTTTTCTTGCAAATAGCTCTGGCAAGGACTTCCAATACTAAATTGAAGAGTAGTGGTGATAGTGGACATCCCTGTCTAGTTCCAGATTTTAGTGGAAAGGCTTCCAATCCTTCCCCATTTAGTAAGAAACTGGCATTGGGTTTTTCTTAAATTGCTTTGATTGTGTTGTGGAATGTTCCTTCTATGCCTATCTTGTTTAGGGTTTTTAACATGAAGTGGTGTTGGATTTTATCAAATGCCTTCTCTGCATCTATTGACAGGATCCTATGGTTTTTATTTTTCAATTTGTTGATGTGATGTATTACATTTATTGTTTTATGAATGTTGAACCATCCCTGCATGCCTGGGATGAATCCCACCTGTTCAGGTCAGTGATCTGCCGGATGTGTTGTTGGATCCTGTTGGCTAGTATTTTATTGAGGATCTTTGCATCTATGTTCATCAAGGATATCGGTCTGTAGTTCTCTTTTTCTGTTGTTTCTCTCTCTGGCTTTGGTATTAAGGTGATACTAGCTTCATAGAAAGAGCTTGGGAGGATTGCCTCTTTTTCTGTTGCTTGAAAAAGCTTGTGTACGATTGGGGTAGGCCCGCCGTCCCCGCCACCGCTGTCCTAGGCCACCGCAGCGGCTGCCCGCCCGCCCCGCTGCCTGCCCGCCCCGCTGCTCCGGCGGTGGCCGCTGCGCTGCCTGCGCCCAGGGCTGGGGAGGGGGCCGTGGAGCAGCCACCCCCCACGCCCGGCCGCCGCGCCAGGGCCTGCGCCATGGCGCTCTGGCTGCCGCCACTGCCTGCGCTGCCGGGCTAGGGCAATGCCAGCGGCCCTAGCGCGCAGTCCTCGCAGGCACCATGAACCCCCTGCTCCGCCGCCTGCTGCTTGCTGCGCTCCTGCAGCTGGCCCCCGCCCAGGCCCCGGTTCCCCAGCCTGATGCCCCTGGGCACCCGAAGAAAGTGGTGTCCTGGATGGACGTGTATGCCCATGCCACCTGCCAGCCGCGGGAAGTGGTGGTGCCCTTGTCTGTTGAGGTTATGGGCACCGTGGCCAAACAGCTGGTGCCCAGCTGTGTGACCGTGCAGCGCTGCGGCGGCTGCTGCCCCAACGACGGTCTGGAGTGTGTGCCCAATGGGCAGCACCAAGTCCGAATGGAGATCCTCATGAGCCGCTACCTGAGCAGTCAGCTCGGGGAGATGTCCTTGGAGGAACACAGCCAGTGTGAATGCATACCAAAAAAGAGGGAGAGTGCTGTGAAGCCAGATAGCCCCAGGCCTGTGTGCCCACGCCGTTGCCAAGGGCGGGGCTTAGAGCTCAACCCAGACACCTGCTGCCGGAAGCTGCGAAGGTGACATACTGCGCTCCAGACAGGGGTGCTGCTGTCGCATAGGCCACTGGCAGTGGGGAAGAGGGAAAGCTGGGCGAACACTCCTAGCCCAGCTGCCATCTAATGGGGCACACTGAGTAGGGTTAGGAGACCTGGAGGCAGCCAAGAGGGGTCACCACCAGTTTAGGGGAGCATGGGGTGCCGGGCAAACATCTCCTCCATCTCTTTATCTGCCAACCATGGGATTTGGGCTTTGCTATGAAAACTGTGACCTCCCCCCACATCCCCTGCCCCTGATAAAAGATGAGAGAGAAGCCAAAAAAAAAAAAAAATTGGGGTAAGATCCTCTTGGAATGTTTGGTAGAATTCAGCAGTGAAGCCATCGGTCCAGGACTTTTCTTGGTTGGGAGGGCTTTAATTACTGATTCAATCTCAGTGCATGTTATTGGGCTGTTTAGATTGTTAATTGCTTCTTGATTGAATTCTGCTGGATTGTATGTGTTCAAAAATCTATCCATCTCCTCTAGGTTTTCTGATTTGTTTGCATATAGTTGCTTGTAATAGTTCCTGATGATTCTTTGTATTTCCGAGGTATCTGCTTTTATATCTCCTTTCTCATCTCTGATACTATTGATGTGTATTTTCTCCCTCCTTTTTTTGATTAGTCGAGCAGTGGGGAGTCTATTTTGTTGATTTTCTCAAAGAACCAGCTCTTTGATTAATCTTTTATATAGTTCTCTTGGTCTCTATTTGGTTTATTTCCTCCCTTATTTTGATGATTTCTTTTTCCCTACTAATCTTGGGATTCCTTTGTTGTTGTGTTTCCAGTTCTTTCAGTTGTAAGGTTAGCTGACTTACTTGGTGCTTTTCTAGTTTCTTGACATAAGCATTGATTGAAATGAACTTTCCTCTCAGCACTGCCTTGATTGTGTCCCATAAGTTTTGATAAGTTGTGTTGATGCCTTCATTCGTTTCAAGCAATTTTTTAATTTCCCCTTTGATTTCCTCTCTAACCCATTGCTCATTTAGTAACGTATTATTCAGTCTCCATATGTTTGTAAGTCTTCCTTGATGTTTCAACTGCTTGGTCTCAAGCTTCACTCCTTGGTGGTCTGAGAAGATGCATGGTATGATTTCCACTTTTTAAAATTTGCTGAGGTTTGTTTTATGACCTATAGCATCAATTCTGGAGAAAGTTCCATGTACTGATGAAAAAAAAGTGTATTCTCTGTCTGTAGGATGAAAGGTTAGATAGATGTCAACTAAGTCCATTTGCACTAGTGTTTGGGTGAGTTCTATTGTTTCTTTGCTGAGTTTCTGGCTTTTTGATTGTCCATTTGTGTTAATGGGGTATTAAGGTCCCCCACTATTATGGTGTTGGTGTCTATTTCTCCCTTTAAGCTCATTAATATTTGTTTCATGTAGCTAGATGCTTTGGCGGTTAGAGCTTAAACATTTATTATGCTGATCTCTTCTGGCTGAAGGCATCCTTTGATGATTGTGTGTTTCCTCCTTCATCTCTTAATGTTCTTTACATCAAAGTCTACGTCATCTGATGGCTATGCCTGCTCGTCTTTCCTTCCCATTTGCTTGGAATATCTTTTTCCATCCTTTCACTTTCAATTTTTTCTGATCTTTGTTGGTGAGATGTGTCTCCTGTAAGCAGCAGATAGCTGGGTTTTGTTTTTTGATCCAGTCCTCCAATCTATGGCGTTTGACTGATGAGTTTAAGCCGTTTACATTCAGCGTTATTATGGATAAGGGGCCGTTTGGTCCTGTCATTTTGGCAATGTGTTCTATAATTGAGTCGTTTGTTAGCCTTTTAGTGGGATGTTCTCCACATTTGGCTTTGTTTCTGGTGGTTGCTGTTTATTTTTTCTTTCATGGGAACATCCTTGAGTACTATTTGTAGGGCAGGTTTAGATGAGACAAAATCTTGAAGTTTTTCTTTATTGTGGAAGAATTTTATTTCGTTTTCAAAGACAAAGGAGAGCTTTGCAGGGCAAGTTATTCTGGGCTGAAAATTTTTCTCTCTTAGAATCTGGAATATATCACTCCATTCTCTCTGGCCTGTAGTGTTTGCTCTGAAATGTGAGTTTGATTGGAATTCCCCTATATGTCACTTGATTTTTTTCCCCGTGCACATTTCAGGATTTTTTCTTTCTGTTCAACTGAAGAGAGCTTGATTATCATGTGTCGTGGTGAAGTTCGGTTTTGGTCAACTCTGTTTGGAGTTCTGTAGCCCTCCTGTATATTATTTTCCAATTCTTTGCTCAGATTAGGGAAGTTTTCCTTTATTATTTCACTGAATACAACTCTAATCTCAACTTCTCTTTCTGCACCTTCTGGAACTCCCATAACTCTTATGTTGGACCTTTTAATCATATCTTTTATTTCTTGGATGCTTTTTTTTAGCTTGACCTAGCTCTGCTTCCAGCTTTTATTTTGTTTCTTCATGGTGACAGGAAATATCTTCTAATTCTGGATATTCTTTCTTCTGCCTCATTCATTCTGTTGTTGAGACTCTCCACTGTATTTTTAATTTGCTCTACTGTGTTCTTAATTTCTGATATATCAGCCTTACTTTGATGTATTACTGCGATTTCTTCTTTGAACTCTTGTTTGTGTTTCTCATTGTTGACCAGCAGCTTTGCAACGAGTTTTCTGAGTTCTTTGTCCCCCATTTTCTCAATGTCTTCCTCAGTTAACTGAGACTGGGCGAAGCTTTTGCTCCTTTGTTGGAGAGTCTTCAGTAACACTCAGTGTTTTTGTCTTGTCTTTTACCTTTTGTAATTGCCAGTCTGAGGAAATCATCTCTATGGTGTATTACCTACAGGTCTATACGTTGATTTTTATGTTCAATCAGTGCCCTGGATTTGGGGAAAACGGCTGTCCTGAATAATTGCTTTGTGCGCAGTACTGATTATGTAGGCAGCACTGAGCTTGTCGCCCCCTGCTGGCCGATAAGTCTGAGTCCCTCCTGGGGTTATTTTAGGTGGAGTTGGTAGTAGCGTGCCTTTTAGGGGCTGTTTTCTCTGTGGAGCCTGTGCAGTGCTCTAAGATGGTGGTGATTTTGTCCCCAGGTCAGTTCTTGGGCGACTCAGCTGTCCTGCCTCAGTGTAACAGTGTCCCGTAACACTTATCTGAGAGCTGCTGAATTAGCGCATGCGCAGTTTACCACTCCTCTCACAGTTTATTAGTGTTCAGAGCACTTGCCTCAGTGTCAAAGATGACGCCCATAGGGGCGCCAACAAAGATCAGGGGGCTGTCGGCCATCAGCTCCAGGGACCACACCGACCCTGCAGGCTGCAAGGCTGGTGCTACGGGCTCAGCTCAGTGCAGTTAGTAACACGCCCACTCTGGATCTTTGCTTGGGGTCCACACTTGCTGCCCTGCTGCCCGAGATGGCGCCAGGTGGAGAGTTGCGGCCGCTGGCTGTCAGCTCCAGGGACCACACCGACCCTGCAGGGAGCGAAGCTGGTGCTCCCCTCTGCACTTGGATCAGCTCCATGTGAACAGCCAGAAAGGAGCCTGAGTTCTGCCCCTAACACAAGATGGCGGCCTGAGTCCCCTACTCTCCGCCTGCGGCTGGTTCCAGTCACTCAGCTCGACTGTCGGCTCCCGGACTATACTCACTTCCCTAGCTCCCCACGCGGACCCAGGCTCTCACCTGGCGGTCACAACGTCTGTGTGGAGCACACTGCTGCACGCCTGGCTGGCGCTGGAAACAGATCCGGAGCCTGGATCGCCGGGGTCTGAGCTGCTGCTCCCGAGCTGGTGGGTTTTTCGTTCCACAAACACACTGCTGTCTCGTTTCCACAGCTTCCCTGTGTCCCGGAGGGTTCCAGGTGCCCCCTGCTTACTGCCTGAGTCCTAGTTTTCCCCTGAAATCTACTTATTATACTTCTCCCTACCTAAAGACTTTCCATCCCATCAAACGTGTCTGCACCCTATGCCGCCATCTTGCCTCTCTACACATGTCTTATTTGTAACTGTGAGACGTCACGTCAGACGGTGCATGTCTGGCTGTGGACTGTGACGTCAAAAGGTGCATGTCTGGCTGTGGACTGTGTGACGTTAAAAGGTGCATGTCTGGCTGTGGACTGTGATGTCATGTTGGGAGGAGCGTGTCTGGCTGTGGACTGTGTGACGTCACGTCAGGAGTATGTCTGGCTGTGGACTGTGATGTCACGTTGGAAATTGCATGTCTGGCTGTGGACTTTTGTAGATTGATGATTGATTAGGTTCAGCCTGACCCCTGCAGCTCAAGTTCTGTTCTTTAATTGGTCCAGTGTTTCTTCGTTGTTACCCCAATATTTCACTAGGATTGCAGTAATAATTTTCTGTTTCCATATTTCTTAGCTGTTAATTTTCCCTCACCCACAATTTGGCTGAAATGCATTTCTTCAGGAAAATCCAAGCTCGGCAGGTCCCCGCACTGGCCCACCCGCCCTGCTCTGCAGGCGCAGCCGCAGTGGTGGCGGAGCGGCTGCCAGGGCTGCGACATTGGCCACACAGCCACCAGCCCCAGGTGGTGATTTGCAGAATGAAGTTGCTGCTCTAGCCAACAAAAAAAAATGAGATCTTATATTTTCACGATCACGAATGTATAGATTTACATACATTTGGTGTCTCCATCTGTTCTTGTCCCTTAAGATGGCTCGTGTTGATGGTGATGGTTCCTTGGCTTCATGACAGTGGCCGCCTTGCCTTCCGCGTCTGCATGGAGCCTCTCTGATAGTGCGCGCTGCTACCGCACTGGCACTGCTTTGCCAGGAAACGCGGTTTATTTGTGTTAAGGTGTGTTTATTTACAAGGCCCAGTGATTGAGAGAGGAGAGGGAGAGTCCTCCTGCCGCTCACACCCCAGGCCTGGGCTGTCCTCTGCCACCTTGCCCATGCCGGCACGCTGCTAGGTGCTGGCATCACCGATGGCGGCTTACTCCACTGCACCACAATGCTGGCCCGCTGGAAATGTGGTTTTAAAAAGATTAACAGGGATTGCTGTAATGTTCTGTATTAAATAAGTGGCCCCAGTTATTAGCAAAGAATACACAGGTGTGAGCATCACAGGTGCAGATATAGTCCATGTGTGGAACACACTTAGGTGAAAGTGCCAGGTTTAAGGCCCAGCTGCTCTGCTTCCCATCCAGCTTCCTGCTTTCTTGGTTGGTTTTGGACTATAAGAATGAGAGTGATTGGTCCCCAAATGGCTGCCTGAACTGGTGCCCAGGTTATGCTGGAGCCATATGCAGTGGCTTAACCTACTATGCCGCGGATCTGGGCCCCAGCTTCTATTGCACAGCCTGGGGACTGGCAGCTGTTGGCTTAATTACTTGGTCCTTGTCACCAACACGGGAGAACCTGCTGGAACTCTAGGTCCAGGCTCCCGCCCGACTGTTAGCAGGATTTCAGAGGTGACCACAAGGCTCTCACTAATGATGGACGGCAGGAGTAAGTGTCCTCAAGTTACGTGAAAGGAGCGTGTTTATACTGCAGCCCTGATATGCATGCTATAATTTGATGTATCCCCCCAAACTCAATCCCTAAAATCATGGTGTGTTCAGGACATCAGGCAGCCCAGTGAAAGGGAGAAATTCCTTCCTGTGGCCTTGCCACCAAGCTGGGGACACCGTGAGCACCCTTACCAGGCACTGACTCTGCTGGCTAAAATCTGGAATCTCCAGCCTCAGAATCGTAAGAAATAAACCTACTATTCGCAAATTATTATAATGTACTAAAGCAATACTTACGCTTGTTTGCAAATTTTAGGTAAAGTTTAGCTTTTCCAGTCAGACGGTTTTAAGCCAGTAGAAAAGGCCCACTCAACAGGAGCATGACTTGGTGATGGGTATTACCCAATGCCCTTTCCACTCCACTGCCCCGTGTTTATTTGAACAGGATGACCATTTTGTTCAGCTATTTACATTTCTTTTGTCTGTGAACTTCCTTCTGTTCCCAAGGGTTGCAGTCTTCTTAATGTCGTTTTTTGGTCATGGAGGGATTTTTATTGTCACATGTTTTATGCAATGAAAGCCGGTCAACATTTAGTTGTATCTCTAACTTTTACATCCTGGGCTAGCCTCCCCACCCCTAGGATATGGTTTTAAACATTTTTTTTTCTTCTAAGTTTTATGATGCAGTTCCATAGGCTCTGGGATTCTCCCCACCTTCAGAAGCCCATCTTTTCCTGCCTGCCCTGAGCTGCTGCCGCAGGGAATGCCAGCTCTGCCCTGCCCTGGCTTCCTGTGCCAGCACCTCGGCTAGGGCAGGATGTCTGAGCAGCTGTCACACACGTCCTTTGTCGCGGCTCTGCTGAGCCCCTGGGCGTTGCAGGACGATGCAGTGACGCACAGGTCACTGGGAACCTCACTCTGGCTGATTTTAGGGGAAGCTTGACTTCTCTAACACTCCAAAAAAGTGAAGCTTCTTTGTTAAATAAAAGTCTAATTTTATTGAACACAGGAATAGATGGAATTTGGCTAAAGTGACACAAAGATGCTTGCTTCATGAAGTTTAGACTTATAAACACATTTATATCCATACACATTGTGTTCACACGCAGACAGGAGCGGTCCGCTGGGCTGGCAGTGCCCAGTGGTGGCACACAGCACGGCCCTCCTTCAGCCGGGGACAGGATCCAACAACAGCAACTTGTAAGCACAGGCACAAATTCGGGTTTTACTCAGCATTTTCTGACACTGGTGAGAGCTGATGTCACAAAATGTTTTCTACCTCTTAACAGAAATGCATGTAACAAAGCATTCTCATTAGGCGTTTTAGATTTTACATGAGAATGCAATGTAACCCTTCCTGAAAAAATCACGGTACTAATGAAGCCATCTTTACAGGAAATGTTTAATAAGCATATTTTATTTAAATAAACTCTCCAGTAGGAAATGGAGAATTCACTGCCTTTACTTGCAAGGCTGTGCAAACAGTTGTGTCGAATCTCTATATGCAGCTCACCAACATTCCCTTACTCGTCACAGCAGTTCCACAGCTCAGCTGTGAAGTCTCAGAATTCTGTGTCTCCTTTGGCTTGTTTCTCTCTCGATTCCACCCAGGCTTTGTTAATAGTTCTCTTCATGTCATCATCTCCATCTTCATAGATTTTCTTTAGGACATTCATGAGCCCTTCGCTAGGATCGGCTTCTGCATCGTAGGAGGGCTTCCTGTTGGAAAACGCAGAACAGCGACATTCAGGCACAAGCCCCATCAGGCTGGGGGCATCATCACACGGGGAGCTAAGGTGTAACAAAACGCCTGCTGCCGTGGAGGTAAGGCTGCGGGAGAGCCGTTTCCCGCACCAGGCTGCCTGGGCCGAGATCCCCGGTTGGCCCCGTGACCCCCACCTGCTGCTGCGCGCCCTGGACTTGGTCATGGGTCTGGCACCTGCAGGCGTTTCAGGAACGAGCCAGTAGGTAAGGAGATCTCTCCAAGGAAAAAAGCCCAGCCCTCCTGAGCCTGAAACTGCTTTGGGTGACGACGGAGTGGTAGGTAATGAACGTGGTCAAGGGGTCACTAGCCTCTGACCTTATTTTTACGTTTATTAGAAGGCAGCATTTGCCAAGTGCTGGCGCACACACCCCACCGGCAGCTGGCGCTAGACAGGAACCGAGAACGCCCAAGGCTTCTTCGGTTATCCATTCAACCCCTTACGTGCCAGGACATGCAACGGGCACCGGAGACAGAATCGTGTGCTCCGCTCCAGCAGTTCAAGCTGACTGTGCAGGCAAGTCTCCAGACCGATCTCCCAGACTCTGGCAGCCACACTGCAAATGCTGGGTGTTAAGTGGAAGTGTGCAAACCTGAGGCCCCAGGAGTTAGAGCTGGATGTGTCTGAAGAAGCCTTTGTTTTTCTGGAAGTCAGAGCAGGTCACCACAGATGGCTGAAAAAGCCAGGTCTGGGCCAGGAGCTTCAGCCTTAACCTCCCCGTGAGTGCAGGGGCCCAATGCAATCACTCCCTGGGGTCATATTCTGCTAGCTTTCCCTAGGTTGTTTGGAAAGCTGAGCTGGATTGGAAGTGGAACAACTGGGACTGTTTGACCCACTGAGTTTTAAACACTGTATGAACATTTTTAAAAGCAATTGCTGTGGTATAGGATAAGCCTCCACCTGTGGTACTGCATTTCATATGGTCACAGGTTCAAGTCCTGGCTATTCCACTTCCCATCCAGCAGAGCAGTGAAATGGCTGTCCCACATGGGGGGCGCAGGGTGATGGCTGCAGGCTGACCCAACTGTGGCTGGAGTGACTCAAACTCCTGTCCATGCTCACAGTCATCAGAAACAGCTCAAGTACAAACATCCATGAGCAGAGGAACTCCTGAAGTAGGAAACTCCCAGCAGGCAGTGTACCTGGGAGGAGCGTCAGAGTGCCCAGGGCTGAGAGCCAACACTCAACAGCCAACTCCAACACAAACAGTAACATGCTAGGGCTGGTCCTGGGGGTGAGCGGCAGCCTGCAGCACTGGCACCCCATGCGCCTGGGAGACCCAGATCAAACTCCCTGGCCTGGCACAGCCCCAGCTGCTGCGGCCACGAGGAGTGAACCAGTAGATGGAAGATCTCTCTCCAACTCAGGTAACATTATTATAAAGGAAGCATTTGCTGGCCACAGACCCTGCTTAAGCAAGACTGAGGTGACTGGGTGGGTGAGTGGGCATCGAGAGGCCATCGGGCACAGCTCTAGTACCCACAACCTCAGCAAAGGACACAGCGGAGACTGTAAGAGCATTCCCGGACTCACTCCTTCTCCTTGCATTCTTTTTCCACCTGCGTCAGATAGTCCCACCGTGTGTTTTCTGCTTTTTTCCTACATAAGATTAAAACTGTATCCGTCTTTACCTGGAAGAAAAACACAAGGAGATCGGTTTGAATATCTAGTTATTCAATCTAGTGCCCATGGTGCATGGGACTTCCTTTCCATAATCGGAACACTCACACACCATGAACCAGAGTGTGTGACGGGAGCAGGGACGGCCTCATTGAGCTCTGGGGAGAGCCGGGAGCCAGGAGGACGGCTCCAAGCTGAGAGGGAGGCTCTCTGAATATCCCTTCGATTACGGGGTTCATGAGGGTGCGTTAAGACGCTGACCAGTGTTCCATCTGCTATGACCTTTAAGCTACGTGACTGTAAGCATGATGTCCTTTCCCCGTGTTGTAGCCTCAGCTGCTCTCTATTTTAATAGCTTCTAGCAGCTCCAACCAAGCTAAAAGTGTAATATCACCTTTTGTAAAATCAAGACTTACCTCTCCTACAATGAGCTGCACAACATTGTTCCGGTAAGGGCAGAGAAACCCTTGCACCGGCAGCCACAAGCGACTGCTGACCAAGTAAGCAGGCTTGTGGTGGTAAAGTTCATCTAGTTCTTTCCAATAGCAGAGCAGCCAGTTTAACGTAGTTCGTAATACTGACAGAAAACAAACTCACTTTTTTTGAACTGCCTTCCACAGAGATGGGTTTCAACAGATTGTTCACAATCATGGAGTAACTCTTGCCATTTAGATTCTTCACCAAAAGATCAAATGACCTACAAGACAGGAGTGGGCACGTGATTTCTATGAAGTCCTCCGTGGTCCTCAGGAAGAAGACCAGCAGCTTCCTTTCAGGGCGCACACTGGCCCAGCCCCAGTTATTCTAAACACAGAGTGTTACACACAGAGGAAGACCCTCTGTCCACTGACTCATTCCCCACGTAGCTGGCAGGGCCAGAGCTGAGGCGATCCAAAGCCAGCAGCCTGGTCTCTTGTGCCAGTGAAGGGTCCCAAACTTTTGGGCCGTCCTCGACTGCTTTCCCAGGCCACAGCCAGGGAGCCGGGCCACTGGGATGTGAACTGGCGCCCATATGGGACCTGGTGCCTGCAAGGCGAGGACTTTAGCCACTAGGCTATGTTACCACTCCAGGCCCTAAACACCAGATTTCTTCAAATTAGATACAAAAGATACTCAATTCTTGTTAAATCAATACAGAAAACATTCCTAAGATATTCCTGATGACCCCGGCTTCGGCACTCACCTCTCTGTGAAATGCACCTGTACGTTCTCCAGGGGGACTTGGTGAACTCCAGTTAGTGTAATGTAGATTTTCACAAACTTCTCTGACTGATCCCATCCTAACAACAAAATGGGGCACAAGTCAGTGAAGCCACCTGTGGCAGAGCAACTGCACACCATTCACAGTAAACCCAGAGAGAGGAAATAAACACGACAATCCAGACAATTGTAAGCTATTCTCTAGATACAGCAACTGAGCTCAAAGCAGTGAAAGTGAAGCATCTAATAAGCTGTACAATTTAAATTCAAATTCATTAATCTAGAGTAAAAAATGCCCTTAAGTAGTCTTTAAGATTGGCTAAGGAGCTCCCCGCCCCCCGCGGTGCCACTGTCCCAGCTTTTCCGTTTCTTCTCTAGCTCTCTGCTTGGGGCCTGGGAGAGCAGCAGAAGATGGCCAAGTCCTCCCGAGTCTCTGGACCACGGGAGACCCAGAGGCGGCTCTGGCTCCTGTTCAGCTCAGCCCTGGGCTATTGCAGCCATTTGGGGAGTGAACCAGCAGACTGAATATCTGTCTCTGTAAATTTGCCTTTTTACATAAAAATAAATCTTAAAAAAAGATCATCTGATTTGTATTTTATTATCTACTTCCTATTTGTCACAGACCTGTATCTTGTTAATCCCCCACTACGCTGGATGGCTAAATACCCATATTAATTTCATATACTCCCACTCCTGACAAACCCAATTCTACCTTTTGCAATTACCTTCCAGGACAAAGTGAAATTGGTTATTTGATACTTACCTTCATTCAAGCCTGTAATTTAATGTACCAATCAATAGCTATTAAGTGCCATTTTAGTGTAAGTTATCAAACTAAGTCTCCAATCCTAACAGACACACACACGTGAACATGCTCGGGCCCGGAGCTGGCAGTGCAGCGCTCCACAGGAAAGACGCTCTAAGGCGCCCCGTACAATGCCATCTGATCGCTTGGCACTCATCAACCTGCCGTCTACACTGGTCACACTGTCCCCCACACTCAGCAGTGCTCATGGCTAACACCCCATGACCCTGCGACACTGCATCCCACATGCACGCAGCTTGTGTCCCAGCTGCCCTACTTCCAGTCCTGGGAAAGCAGAGGAGACGTGGCTGCAGCTCCTGGTCCCACGTGGCAATCAGCTGGGGGGTGAAGATCTCTCTCTCCCTTTACATCGTTCAAATAAACGAACAATTCTTAAGGACAAAAGGCCATAGTCCTAACGCTGCAGATAGGTTCCATTCCCCCAAAGGTGCAGTGTGTCTCCCACAGCGTGCTGCATCTCCGAAGGGTTGACACACACACATCGCTCGGCGCCGACAGCACTCGGCCCTGTGACGCCGCAATGCAGTCATGTCTTTGCCCACACTGTTCTCTTCCTTTTCCACTTGCTGAAATACGAACCTTCCAACCTAAAATTTAATGTGCCTCCAATTCTGTTTATCATTAAGATTATTTTTTCAGCTATATTCCCACAATATTTTTTTAAAGATTTACTTATTTTTATTGGAAAGACAGATACACAGAGAAAAGAGGAAGATCTTCCATCCGTTGGTTCACTCCCCAGGGACCCCGACGGCCAGAACTGAGCCAATCCAAAGCCAGGAGGAGCAGGGGGTCTCCCACATATGGGTGCAGGATCGACTGCTTTCCCAGGCCACAGGCAGGGAGCTGGATGGGGAGTGGGGCTGCCAGGATTAGAACCAATGCTCATATGGGATTCCAGTGTGTGCAAGGTGAGGACTTTCGCCACTAGGCTTCCATGCCAGGTCCCATTCCCATACTATTTTAAAATCTCATTTCAATTAAACAAGTGTTTAACGAAGACTCTACCACCAAGCATTGCAAAACTGCCCGCCTTCTAGAATGTGGAGGAAGCTCTGGGCTGGTCCAGCCCTGCTCACTGTGGCCACTGGGGAGTGAACCAGGGACATGAGACCCCACGCTTCCACCCCTATGTCTCTTCCCCTCCCACTCACTCTCACAATTTCTGTGTTTGAGATAATGAAAATATTTAAAAACAGAATCCTTCCTCGCTACTCATCATCATTACGCTATTTCACCTTGTTTTCTTGTAAAGACTTCTAGAATGCATCCTTCCTTTTTGATGCCAAAAAACCCAAAGCACTTCATTCAGGAGAAATGAGTTTTCTAAGAAAACACACAGAGCAGTTCCGAGGTCAGTTGGTCAGCACTCAGTGTGAACAGGCCGAGTGCAGAGCGAGTCCTACCGTAGTTGCTGATCTTCACCGTGTAGCCCGCGGGGACGGGAGCTGGCTTGTCACTGTCCCCGGGCTCTGCTTTCTCCTGCGCCTTCTGCTGCATCTTGTTCCTGACTTCCGTCTCAATCTTGGCTTTTTCTGCTGTGAGGGCATCACGTACTCTTTTCCTAGTAGACTTTTCGAGCAACACCTTTACCTCTTCTAGATCTTTCTGTAGCTGTGTTAAAATAAAAAGTCAGTGATGATAAACAAGGAGTATCGTTTCAACTTAGTAAGAGCTAAGTATTAAGAAGTTCATTTGCATTTGATGGCTGCCCAGGGCACTGGAGACTAGGGGCTGGTCTGCCCTGCCCCGACAGATTTCCTAGGCTCCAGCCTGGAACAGGAGGGGCCACAGGAGCCAGTTACGTCACTGACCTGGTGGGATTCCAATTGGCCAATGGCACACCTGAATGGACATTCCTTATATAGTTGGGACAGACAGCCCCTTTGCCCTCCCACATGTCTAGAAGGGTACAAAACTCCCCGACACATTATCTCAGAAGCCCCTTTCCCTTCCCTCTTCCTTCCCCTCTGTGCGAAGGGGGCCCAGGAGCGGATTTTCCAATAAAGCTTCCATCACAACTCTGAATGATTTGCCGAACAACATTTGGTGCAGAAACCTGGGAAGGGGTGCATGGGCTCCCTAAACTGGTTGAGCCCCTCTCTTCCTCTTTCCACCTCTAAGCCTCCAGCCCCAAGGCCTTTGCTGGGTGCGAAACGACAGACGTGAGTAAGCCCCTCAGCCCTGCTTCTCCTGTCCTGAAAATTACTCCCCAACCTCCTGCAGACCCCCCAAACCGTGTACACGTGGTCTGCCTGTCCTGAGCCCTCAGCGAGACGGGGGACGCCCTGGTCGTTGACCGGCTCCCACCAATCCAGGGTCCTCAGAGGGGTATGAGACATTCCCCCTACTGACTGGCCCTCCTTAACGGGGAACCAGGTTCCCCTCTAGTCTGAATTTTAAAGTGGGGACGCCTTCTTTGTGTTTAGATTAGCGGCCAGATACTTTATCGGGACAGGATGGGCAACAAGATGTCCTGAGCCCATGGCCCCCAAACCCCCTTAGGGTGTTTATTGGCCAATTTTAAAACCACGGGTCTGGGCGAGGACTTACACAGAAAACGCCTTGTCCATTTTTCAACCGTGGCTTGGCCACAGTGCATGTTGGACAATGGCTCCAAATGGCCAGCGGAAGGCACGTTTGATTTTCAGATCCTCACGGAATTGGGTAATTTCTGTCGTCGCGAGGGTAAATGGCCTGAAGTTCCTTATGTGGAAGCTTTTTGGAATCTCCGTTCCTTATGGAATCTCCTTCCCTATGCTGTCCTGTTCCATGACTCAGGTTCTCCTGGTCAAGGCTAAGCCCTCCCAGTCTCCTAAGGATCTCTCTCTTTTTTTAAAGATTTATTTTTCATTGGAAAGGCAGATATATAGAGAGGAGAGACAGAGAGGAAAATCTTCCGTCCGATGATTCACTCCCCAAGTGAGCGCAATGGCCGATGCTATGCCGGCCTGAAGACAGGAGCCTCTTCCGGGTCTCCCACGCGGGTGCAGGGTCCCAAAGCTTTGGGCCGTCCTCGACTGCTTTCCCGGGCCACAGGCAGGGAGCTGGAAGGGAAGCGGGGCTGCTGGGATAGAACCAGCGCCCATATGGGATCCTGGGCATGCAAGGCGAGGACCTTAACCACTGTGCCATCGCGCCGGGCCCCTCCTAAGGATCTCTTAAGACTTTTCAACTAACCATACCTTTTCTGAGCCGCCAGAAGTTTTATGACTCAACCCAGCCCCTACTTCTTCCCCACCTCCGTCTCTGCCGGCCTCTTTACCTGCACTTTAGTCTCTCTAGGAGCCTTTGGCCCATCCACCTCCATATGCTACCCCTCCAGTTCCTCCGCCATGTTTTTTGGTCACCATCCCCCCACTTCCTGTCCTTTCATCTTGTTCTCAGACTCCCTCCTCCCCACTCCCTGCTCAGACGCCATGTTTGCCAGTGACCTCAACCTCACTTCCTGAGTCGTCACCAGAGCGCAAGATCACCTCTTCACTTCCTGTCCCTCCGCCATGTTCCCAGATAATGTCTTCTTCACTTCCTGCCCAGACGCCATGTTCTCAGATAACCTCTGCTTCTACCTTTGAGCCAAGGTCATGCCTTCAGGTTACTTCCGACTCACTGGTGCCGACGCCATGTTTACCAGGTCACTTTCACTCACCTCATGCAACACCTCCTTTGTTACCGGAACCCTTCCTTCCTCCATCGGCGCCAACCCCTCTCTCCAGGCCTCGCGGTCCCCGCCTCCCACACAGGCATCTATCCCTCAGACCTCCTGCCCTTCAGCCTCCCCTTCCTCTTGTTCACCAGTTAGCCCCCGTACACGTTCTCATGCCCGTTCCGCCTCAGTCACACTTGCAGGTCCCCAAGGTGAAGTTGGGATGACTGCCCCTCCTCCCGACTTTGCTGTTCCCTTTGCCTCGACAGGACGCATGTGCCCTCTCCGGGAAGTGGCTGGAGCAGAGGGAATAGTCCGGGTACAGGTGCCATTCTCCATCCAAGACCTTTCTCAGATTGAGAACGTCTGGGTTCCTATTCCGCCGACTCAGACACCTTTATCAAGGAGTTTAGACATCTTTCCCAGGCTTATGATTTAACTGGGCAGGATATACACACCATCCTAACGTCCTCGCTAACCTCAGAAGAGCGACTTCGCATTTGGCAGGCAGCCCAGGATCATGCGGACCAGCAGCTCCTTGCAGACCAGACTCTCCTGCTGGGGAAGGACGCAGTTCCGGATGTGTCTCCCAGCTGGGGATATCGGGATGGTCAGCGGGGCCGCGGCCACGTGGCCTGCATGATCCAACATCTCCTGGCTGGGATGCAGGTAGTCTCTAACAAAGTGGTTAACTATGATAAGTTACGGGATGTTATACAGGGCCCCGATGAGAATCCAGCAATGTTCCTGAACCGGTTGACGGAGGCCCTCATGAGGTATACCAAGATAGACCTGGAGTCTCCCCGGGGAGCCACGATACTGGCAATCCATTTTATCTCCCAGCTCCGGACATCTGGAAAAAGCTCAGGAGGGTGGAGGAAGGTCCCCAAACCCCTATCCGAGACCTGGTAGGAGACCTGGTAAAGATCGCATTTAAGGAGTACAACACCCGTGAGGATACTAAGTTACAGAAAAAAGTAACCCTCCAGTCCCAAACCCTGGTTGCTGCCCTGAGGCCGGTGAGTTAGCGGGGAAATCAGCAGTCCACTCCACCACTCCATCCACTCCACAGGGTGCCTGCTTCAAATGTGCTAAGGAGGGTCACTGGTCTGCATTCTGCCCAAACCCTCGCCCACCTAAAGGGCATGTCCTGTCTGCAAGCAACACGGACACTGGAAGAGTGACCGCCCAGTGGCCAGCTCGGCTTCAGCACATCCACGCAGGGACCCAGCCAGCCAGGCAGCCCAATCGTTTGAACTTCTAGGACTGGCCGAGGACGATTAGAGGCGCCCTGACTTGAGGACCCCCATCACCCTCATCGAGCCCAGGGTAACGCTCCAGGTAGCAGTGAGTCCATCAATTTCTTGGTGGATACGGGGGCTACCTATTCTGTATTACCCGCCCATTCAGGCTGAACATATCCTTCCCAGGTATCGGTTATGGGTATAGATGGCACCCCTTCTAGAGAACCCTTTGAGAACAGGTCGCCTGTCATGCGCTCTCGAGGGGTTACCCTTCACCCATTCTTTTCTGGTCATTCCATCCTGTCTACCTTGGGTGCCTCTCTCAACCTGTTTGGGACACAGCCTCTGTTGGCAACACTCCTTCCCCTACTGGAGTGTGACCAGGCTGATGGATCACGGCCCTTACCTCCCTCCATAGTTAACCCTCAGGTTTGGGACACCCCCACACCAGTTGTAGCCACCCACCAGCAGCCTGTCCAGATATTCCTCAAGCCAGATGCTCCTTACTCTTCCACGCCACAATTTCTTATATCCCTACAACACAAGCATTAAGTGCATTACTGATCGACTTCTCCGTCAAAAACTCTTGATTCCCACCAACCCCCCATGTAACACCCCCATCCTACCTGTCCGCAAACCTTCAGGGGCTTATCGTTTGGTTCAAGATCTCCGCCTCATTTACGCGGCAGTTGTCACTATTCATCCAGCCATTCCTAACCCCTATGCCTTACTCTTGAGTCCCTCCTGACGCCACCCATTTTACAGTCTTGGACCTCAAGGATGCCTTTTTCACCATCCCCCTTCACAGGAACTCCTACCATCTGTTTGCCTTTCCTTGGGAGGACCCAGACTCTGGCCAGTCACAACAGCTCACATGGACTGTCCTCCCAGTGGGGTTCAGAGATAGCCCCCATTTTTTTGGCCCTTGTGTTGTATAACCAAGGCAGCTCTACCTTACTGCAATATGTGGATGATCTTCTCCTGTGCAGCCCTTCCCTCAAGGCCTCACAATCTGCTACAGCAGCCTTACTAAATTTTGGGGGAGATAAGCCAAGGCCCAGCTCTCTTCTCCACAGGTGACCTACCTGGGAGTCCTGCTCCAACCAGGACAGAAGTCCCTCTCAGTGGACAGAATCCAGGCCCTTACGGACCTGGGACCACCCACAGATGCAGACTCTATCCTTTCCTTTTTGGGATTGGTAGGGTTTTTCAGATACTGGATCCCCAACTTCGCTGTGATAGCTAAGCCTCTATCAGGCTGCCAAGGAGACCTCAAAGGGACCCCTAACCTCCCCAAAGGAGGTGGCCCGAGCCTTCATCTGACTGCGGGACTCGTTAACCTCTGCACCCGTTTTGTCCCTCCCCAAGCCTAAGCGCCCCTTTCATCTCTTCACAGATGAGCGACAGGGAATCGCCGTAGGCTGCTGGCACAACCTCTGGGCCCAACTCATCAGCCGGTAGCCTATTTATCTAAACAACTTGATCTTACAGCCAAAGGCTGGCCACCATGCTTGCAGGCTCTAGCAGCAGCAGCTCTCCTAATGAGAAGCCTTAAAACTTACCCTTCAGTCACCCATTACTGTGTTCTCTCACCACCTCAAGGATCTTCTAGGAATGAAGACTCTCCCCCTACTCAGCCCCTGCGGTATCCAGGAGCTATACCTGCTGTTTATTGAAAACTCAGACATCACTCTGTCTCCACCACTCAATCCTGCCTCTCCTTC